GTCCGACGAAGCGGCCGCCGGAGTCACGCTCTCCGAGTTGGAGCTTCCTGCTTGGGTACAAGCCAGCGAGCTAGGAGCCAGTCTTGAAGCGCTTGCCACTCTCTATGCGAATCGAGGCAGGGCAGAGTACGCTGCGCCGTTGTACCTGCAAGCAATATCTCTCCTCTTGCCTCCAGCAGAGCAGCGCAAAAGGAATGCGACCGCGGCAGAGAGGTGCCGCGCTGCAGTGATGATGTCCAACCTCAGCTTGATTTTTTTGCAAGCTGCTCCAAAGGGCGCTGCAGGAGATGAGGGTCGCACGCAGGGTAAATCCTGGGCTGAAAAGGGTCTGAGCATCGTAGAGAAGACGAACGCGATGGCTGGCTGGGCAGGCGAGAAGGCAAAGGCGAAAGTGGAAGGCGGACAAGATGAGGATCGAGTGAGGCAGGTCAGGGCGGAGTGCGCAAGTGCAGAGACTACCTTGCTTTTCAACCTGGGATACATGAGCGAGGTGAGTCCTTCATCAGACCAAGGTTGGCACGTGTCAATACGCTCGCGAAGCTGAAGTTTTTCGTCGCCTCATGGCTGCTCTCGGGATGCGCCCACAGCTCGCTTCTGATCCTTGCCAAGCGCGCAAGTACTTTCAAAGGGCTTACAAGCGAGCCGACGATAACGGATTGCGGGAAGCCAGATCGCACGCAGCTGAAGCGCTAAGCAGGCTTGAACGGAGCGGATCGCTGAGCTAATCTAGACATTGCATCACTTGCTATCATCACTTCAGTCTGCGTCGGGCCATACGAAGGCTTGGGATGGCTTGACGTGCGATCAAAGCTTCTGTGCAGCTTCGTAAGCGCTAGCTGAGCTCTGTACCACGCACGAACGATTAGATGACGACGATTCAGTCTGCGAAATGATTTGAGCTTTGCCAGGCAGTAACTCACCTCTCCTGGCTTGACACCGACGCTAGAAAGCGCGAGGCGGCCTTGGCCATCGACGACAAAATGGCTGCATTTTCAGGAAAAGTGTTGGTTCAGCACAGAGACTTCGCTCATCAGTGCGTGTTGAAGTCACTCCTTACCTGCGAGTGGTCGAGGACTTTGAGCCAGTCCTTCAGACAAAGTTTACGGGGCGTCATGTTAGTTTGAGGAGATACTTGGAGCTCTCTACCGCCATTGATCACTGCACTGACAAAGCTCCAATGAGCTTGCGCTCTGGGTCCGAAAGCAGAGCGTAGGGGAAAGAATTTTTCTGGAGGACAATCGTGTTTTGCGGTCAGTAATGGCGAGCTCTCGTCGTTCCTGACACGCGGGGAGGACGTGCAGGAGTGCCTCTCACCTCTTTCCAGTTCTTCAAGGGAGTGGCGTTGTCGTTGCTAAGACCATAGACCGACACTTTGAGCTTCTGAAATTTGCTGTAGTCGTCGCGATAAGTACAAGCTTGCTTGGTGCAGCCTCCCGTGTTTGCCTGAGATCCGAAGAGGGAACAAGGGTTAGCGCGCACGAGAAGCTCCACAGTAATCGTCTGGCGATATGCACCTTTGGGTACCTGTGGATGGTGTGACAATGGCAAAAGAGCAAAAAATGTTCAGTCACGCTTTTCGACGTGTACGCGCTTTCACGGCAGACTGACGCGAAGATGACGGCCTTCTTGAGAGCGGACAGCTTGACATCGTTGCCAGCTTCATCCTTGAGCGTAATTTCCGGCAGCTTGTCGCCAACTTCGAGCTTTGTCTTGCCGCTGCTCGCCTTGGATTCAACAGCAGCAGCAGCAGCATCAGCCGTGCCATTCGTCTTCTTCTCAGACTTGGAGCTCGGCTTTGGCTTTGGCTGTTCCTCTGGCTCTGATTCTGGGAGGGGCTGTGGCGCTCGCGCCTTTGTCGCCTGGGATTTGGAAGCAGGTTTGGCGTCGCTGGTCGACTTTTCATCAAGTTTCGCCTTTTTGGAAGCCGAAAGCTCAGCAGTCTTCTTGGCTTTGCTTTCCTGCGCCTCGCCACTTTCGGATGCGCGTTTCTTGCCCGCGCTCGCACTCGCTGCAGCGGTCTTGTCTTTTCCAGCGGATGCTGGAGGTTGAGAAGCGATTCTAGCTGAAACTCGACGCTCCGTCGATGCCGAGCCTTCGGCACCTTTCTTTGGCGCCATGATGGGCACGAATGATTGTGCGTCAAGAGAGAGGGAGAGGGGGGAGAGCGGTCGCACGTTTGACTTGTCGTAATGATTCGCTGTCGCTTATTATTGCACCTTTCAAGTGGATGAGGTGTTCTTGAACTCGAATCCTCGTCTTCTTGACTTGCGATATTTGCGGATGATGGTGGATGCATGCATGCATGCCTCTCCTCTTGCTGTTGACGGGCAGCGTGGTCGAGTGGACGATTGAGCAGCTCGAGTGGTGGATGATCACGCAACGAGCAGATTAGCGGATGACACGAACACACCTCGCATCGCGGCGCGCTTGAATTGTGTTATTGGCGGTGCTGGCTGACGCCATGATGGATACGCAGGCATTCACATTCAGATAAAGTCCGCGCCCGCATGTGCTAATTAATGTTGACCACCACCAGGAGCGGCTGCTCCTGCGCGACCATGCAGTCGTGAGTCAACAAAGCGAGCGAGCCTTCATGGATCGCAATCATGCAGCATCAGTCAAGACCTTGGACTTTGAGACACGAAACATGCAACAACACCAAGTCACAATTTGGAGTCACAGTCACAGTGTGCATCGATGTGCGGCTGGTCGTGAATGTCGCCTTCTCGTATCGTATCAATTCACATTATGGCTACAGCAGCTGTGCGGTCGCGGTCTTCGCGTTGCTGAACTCACGACTGCAGAGCGGCGCGCGACAAACAGCCTTGCTCGGCTGTTTCACGCACACGCACATCATCTTCTCTCCCGCGCCGGTGGTCTCACATCGTACACCTCCAGGCTCATATACCAGGCAGCTAGCGGATGGGGCCACACGCGCACGCGCTTTACCATCTGCTAGTTGTAAAAGGGATACAGAAGGGCTTGCTCGAGCCCAAGGCGCTCGCTCATTCCCCCTCCTTCAAGAACGTCGTCACGGCGGCGAGTGCCTCGGGCGGTCGAGAGAGCACGCGGTACAGCGATGATGATGCATGCCCGGGGAGAATGATGCAGAGGAAGCATGCAGCAGCTGATGAC